CAACAACAACAACAACAACAACAACAACAACAACAACAACAACAACAACAACAACAACAACAACAACAACAACAACAACAACAACAACAACTCCAACAACAACAACAACAACAACAACAACAACAACAACAACAACAACAACAACAACAACAACAACAACAACAACAACAACAACAACAACAACAACAACAACAACAACAACAACAACAACAACAACAACAACAACAACAACAACAACAACAACAACAACAACAACAACAACAACAACAACAACAACAACAACAACAACAACAACAACAACAACAACAACAACAACAACAACAACAACAACAACAACAACAACAACAACAACAACAACAACAACAACAACAACAACAACAACAACAACAACAACAACAACAACAACAACAACAACAACAACAACAACAACAACAACAACAACAACAACAACAACAACAACAACAACAACAACAACAACAACAACAACAACAACAACAACAACAACAACAACAACAACAACAACAACAACAACAACAACAACAACAACAACAACAACAACAACAACAACAACAACAACAACAACAACAACAACAACAACAACAACAACAACAACAACAACAACAACAACAACACAACAACAACAACAACAACAACAACAACAACAACAATCAACAAGCAAGAAACAACAATAAGACCACAGTGTCACAGAGATGATATGTCATAGACTGTGTAGTATAGCTTGCTAATGTTAATGGACAACACATGTTTCAAATCGTTTTTCCTCGCAAGACCTGTTGTGACTAGGACACATGTAAATCTCTCAATCTTCCATGAAAAAACTCATTCATGCTCAAAAACACTCATGTATACTCAAAAACACTCATTTATGCTCAAAAGCACTCATTTATGCTCAAAAACACTCAACATCTCTCAAAAACATCCTCCAAAAAACCCTCCTGATTGGAGACCCATCCGATCCAGACCTCGTTTCCAGTTTGCCGATTGGGTGAGGGGTACAACCACCTGCACCAAACACTGAGGGTCTTGCAACTTTGGCGGCCTCCGGCTAACAACCGCCACACATTCACTTAAGCAAGCAAAGGGGAGTCTTCCCCGAAAGCCGAGGCATCAATCATGGTCCGTATGCTAGTTTTCCCGGTGGCCTCCTGGAACTATGGTTAAGGTGCCTGGTGGGCTGAGCTCTTCAGTTCTTGCTCTGCCATACGCCGAACCCACGCGCCGGCCTTCTTTTCGCTTACACTGCGAGCCTTTCGCAGGCCCTTCATACGTCACACGCGCTACTGTGATGAACAGCTTCCACTGCCTTCCTTGAGTTACCGAGCGCAAGCGAGCACACTGAGCACACCCTGACAAGCGCCCATTCGGATCACCCCACAGATAAGGTGCCAGATGACAAGAAATTGTCAAGGGATAGCCCCTGAAACTGCCTTGGGCCAAAGTCGGCAACTGAAAAACGCCGAAACCCAAAACCCTAAACTGTCAAACTGTTAAAGGGACATCCCAAACGCATGATTCCACCGCAAAGTACATGTCTGTGGCACTCACCTGTTAACATCCGAACTCCGAAGTTTGGAAGAAAAACACTCCTGCAACAACAGAAGAAAAAGAAGAATGACATTCCTCAGGCCACACCCCAAACCCTAAACTGCTCTGTTTGGATCAAATGTTACAGCTTGCTGCCTTGGGTGGCAATGATGTGTCAAGGTCATTGCTAGCGTTTTGGCTGTTGCAATTGCCGGAGTAAGGCGGTGCCTCATACCCTAAGCGCTTTGAACAAAGGGGCAAAGCCAAACAGCGCTGCCCAAAGGGGGGTCCCATATTAAGGGGCGGACGCGGAGCATTAATTCAATTAATTCAGCGGAGCACGTGTCATGACTGGAACAAAGGACACTTTCAGTGCACCTTTCAACCACGGCACTCAGGCTGCCAAACACAAAACAAAGGCTACCAAAAAATATTGATCCCACACACACACACACACACACACACACACACGCGCACACATACACACAGGAAATGACCACGAAAACACTTGGCGATCTCAGAAGCTTTTTGACCTCGGCTTCGCTGTCAGCACAAAGAAACATTGGCTCACTGCCCACCTGGCTTGCAAGAGCCATTATAGGGGCCTCCTCTTTGATTGCAGGATGGTGCTCTCAAGCTGACTCAAGCTCACATCGCCTCACTTCTTCCCATGACTCTTGGCAGCTGTCGTGGCGTGGCATGTGTGGCACAACTTGTATCCTTCCTGCAAAGCCTGCACCAAAGATTTTGGCAATAGCGCGGCCGATTTCCTCAACCATGGGCACTCACGTTTGTGGTAGTGGCGCCCATACGGGGTTACGTGCACCACAATCTCAATGTCTTCGGAACTGCCCTTCTCATGGGCTGCGTTGTTGCTGCGAGAAAGGCAACGTAGCCCGATCTGGTGGCTCTGCGCCTTGCCATTGCATACTTCAGCCTCAGCCAACCGATTTTCCAGCGCTTTGATCTGCTCCTTCATCTTTGACGTTTGGCCCCAAACACAGCATCCGTACACCGAGCTGGCCAGAAGCGCGCCGAATAAACACAGAATACTCAGAATAGCAATCAGCATGCACATGTCCAGGACAAATTGCAGGTCAAGGAGTTGCTCTGCGCCATTGATGGACTGGGCTTTGGAACCATCCGATGGCATGGCTGGCAGCGCACGCCCCGAGACACACAAACGCGCACATAAACACACACACACACACACAGCTACTGACTGCGGAATACCGCATCCCAAAAACAAGGATGGCCAGAAAGGAATCTATCTCACGCCGCACAAAAACAAAAAAACTGCAAGCTCCCACTTGGCTGTCAAATTTGCCTGCTGAGCCAACAATCTCTGCAAGGCACGTGTGATTCCGTGTGATGACAAGCGCCTGAACACCACGCAAAGCTCTGACTGGCTGAATGGCTCGACACGGCCAGCAAGCGCACCTGCCACTTTTGCGGCTTACAAAACAAATTGCGAAGGTGAAGGCCACCTATCCACCCGTGTTTTACTGAGGTGGGAGTCAGGAGCACAGTGCTGCTGCCTGCGCAGTTCTGACAGATCCACCTCTGAAATTGACGTTTTTGTGCGTTTGCCCGATGACTTCTGTCTGCCTAACGTTGCAGCTGTTGCATCTGGACTGCTACTTCTTGCCAGAAACTGCGCAGCTCCTCAGCCCCTCGGGCAGATCTAGCTCACGGCCAAGCTCACAGCCGTTGCAGCCTGCAGGCCAGGGCCCCACATTGACTGGGCTAACGTGGCAAACATGAAACACGTGTTCACATCCCTACACAGCCACGAAAAACAGCTGGCAACTCAAAGACATACGCTGCTGCTTACTGCCTTGGGGATTCCCTGAACGGGATGCAACACAATGCCAACCCTGAACAATGTGTGCTCAGCTGATTGAGCGGTCCTGCAGAAGGACCCACGCTGCCAGCGCGTGCGGGAAACTGGCACCTGCAAAGGAGCTTCAAACACAAGAGATCCCCATGCAACATGTGACCTGCAAAAGTCTGAGTCTGAATGCCCCGGGCTGCGGTGAACCAATTTGCTGACAGGCCCACCGTGCCTTGGGATGACAGAAGGCAAGCACGCAACCTGGCCAGGCACAACGTACCGCAAAACTCAAGCGCACTAGGAGTACATATGCACACACATGGCTAGCACCAGCACCATTTTTTGCAACACACCTGCCAGTCAGCAGTCCCTGTACAGAGCCAACTGTTCACTTCCTAGCCTTTTTGGCTGCACCTTTCGACAATGCAACTGCAACTGGTGGAGCAGGCTGACGTGTTTCAGCTGCAGGCTTTGTCTTCTTGGCAGCTTCCTTGGGCGCTGCCATCTTTGCCTTCTCCGCCTCCGCCGCTGCTGCGATCTCTGCCTTCTCTGCCTCCGCCGCTGCTGCGATCTTTGCCTTCTCTGCCTCCGCCGCTGCTGCAATCTTTGCCTTCTCAGCTGCTGCTGCAACCTCTGCCTTCTCCTCCGCCGCTGCTGCAATCTTTGCCCTCTCTGCCTCCGCCGCTGCTGCCATCTTTGCCTTCTCCTCCGCCGCTGCTGCAATCTTTGCCTTCTCATCCGCCGCTGCCTTCTCTGCCTCCGCCGCTGCTGCAATCTTTGCCTTCTCTGCCTCCGCCGCTGCTGCTTCCTCTGCAGCTGCGATCTCTGCCTTCTCCGCCTCCGCCGCTGATGCGATCTTTGCCTTCTCAGCAGCCTCCTTCTCTGCCTCCGCCGCTGCTGCGATCTTTGCCTTCTCAGCAGCCTCAGCAGCATCCGCAACCTTTGCCTTTTCTGCCTCCGCCGCTGCTGCAATCTTTGCCTTCTCCTCCGCCGCTGCTGCAACCTTTGCCTTCTCCTCCGCCGCTGCTGCAATCTTTGCCTTCTCCTCCGCCGCTGCTGCAATCTTTGCCTTCTCCTCCGCCGCTGCTGCAATCTCTGCCTCCGCCGCTGCTGCAATCGTTGCCTTCTCTGCCTCCGCCGCTGCTGCGCTTGCCTTCTCTGCCTCCGCCGCTGCTGCACTTGCCTTCTCTGTCTCTGCCGCTGCTGCACTTGCCGTCTCTGCCTCCGCTGCTGCTGCCATCTTTGCCTTCTCAGCAGCGCCCTCGGCTGCTGCCATCTTTGCCTGCTCCGCCTCCTCCGCAACTGCTGCGATCTTTGCCTTGTCGGTCTCCTCTGCCTCCTCGCCTGCCTCCTCAACCGCTTTCTTCACCGTCTCCTCAGCTGCAGGCCTGGCCTCATCAGCGCGGCCTTCGCCACCTGCGCCGTCACCTCCAGCGCGTTGCTGCTGCTGTTCACGTCGCTGGCGCCCTTCCTCTTCGAGCTCAGGAGGAGCCTGGCCGTCCAAAAACGGCAACATTAAACAAGGCACAACAAACCAACCTACACAACAACGCAATCCGAAGGAAGTCTACACCCAAAAGATTCGCTGACTCGCAATTTGGTCACCCAAGAACAAATCAAACTAGCTTCCCTGGCCCTCCCCCAATCTCCAAACCCCAAGCCCAAACCCTAAGCAACATTTCACTGTGTGGCTCCGCCTGCTCTTGCTCTTTCTGGCGCTGCTCCAGCAAGCTGAGCAAGTCATCCATGGCTGGTGACTGCTTGCCAATGGCACGGCTCTCCTTCTGCATCTCTTGCAACGCCTCGCGCCCGTCCGTGTCTTGCTCGGCAATGATGTGAAGCTTCAAGCCAATGCCGTCCGTGTCCTCGCTTTGCGCTTCAGCGACCACCATTCCTGCCGGCACATACCTTGGCGCATCTATGAGAACATCATAAAGTAACTGGAAGCCCTTCAACAACACAAACCACAAGCACAGCTGCAACTGGAAGCCCTTCAGCACCGGCCCACCCCAAACCCTAAGCAAAAACAAAGTATGAGCGAAACTTCCTGCTAAGCATCAATGTCTGATGTGGGGCAAGTTCTCCATGCCAGATCTTGCCAGGCGAAGAAGCCAGAAAAGAATCCAAAGAATCTTGGCTGAGATGTGTCATCCAGTGGGCAGCTGCATTGGTCGTGATGGGCTCAGCCTCTTCTGCATCAGCTGGTCTTTGCTGCTTCTCTTCATTGCGAAGAAAGTTGACAATGTCTGTCGCCAAGGCTACCACCACCTCCCTGCGGCCCTCAGCTCCAAACCGCAAGGTGGCCATTGCAGCTGTTTCCAACCGAACGGAGCGATGTCCCTTGATAACACCGTAGCAGCTGCTCGCCATGGCCTGCTTCAAGGCAGCAAACTTGGTGCGGGTCACATGAGTGGCTTGCAAAGCTTGGCCAAAAGCGTGGGTGTTGTGCACGCCCACAAGGCCAAACAGCTCCTGGCGGATGTAGAGCTCACAGCTCTGCGGACAAACCTGCTGAGCCTTTCCTGCGACAAAGCGCAGGTCGCTCTTGCCGAAGCTTTGCTTGAACTCTTGGATGGCCGCGCTGCAGCTCTTCTGCTCGTCAGACAAGTTGGGGTCTGCTGGGTTGCAAGCTGCTGCCAAGGCCCTTGGCCCGTTGAAGATGAAAGGATGGTGCGGAGGGTGGAAATCCGGCAGTTTGTGTCCATCTGCAATGCACCGGCTGGAACCGCCAACATTGTGAACACACTGGAAGGCCTGGTAGGCACTTCCGCCGCCAGCCTTGCCTTTTCTCTTCGCGGCTGCTCCCTTCTTTGCTGTCGCCTTTGCACCTGGCGTTCCCTTGTCAGCCTTCTTGAGCTCCTGCACGGACACCTTGCAGGATGCCAGCAGCTCATCCCAGTGCCCCAGGATGCCTTTCACCTTCTTCCACAGCGCACCCAGCTCAGCCTCGCTGGACACCTTGGCGAAGGCTGAGGCCATCTGCTTGAACTGTTGCAACGTGTACAGGGACTCGTGGTCCTTGCATGGAGTGCCCAGGTGACCAACTGCTGACTCATTCGCGGTGCCTCTTGAGTTGACACTGCACCTTGCCGACGCGGTCTGCCGAAGATTAACGCAATAATCTGCAAAGGACTTCTCCGTGCCCACCAGAATCTCACTCAGGCACTGCAGGCGGTTGGTGCAGATCATGATCTCGGTCTTGCAGTTGCTGTTGCAGCTTCTGCTCAAATCAATTTGGTTCCTCATGGCGTTGGACTGCTGCTGCATTTTCTGCCCGTATTTCTGCACCGTGTCCTCAAAGCTGCGGGAAGCCTTGGCACTCTGCTGGGCTGCATCAAACCAACTTGACTTTGGCCCTCCTTTCTCTCCCACAAGCTCTTCCGCATGCGGCTCTGCATCCTCCTCCTCGTTCTGGTCCTTCCTGGGACGCTTTGCTGAGAGGCAACGCACGTCATCTGGCACAAAGTCAATCTGACCTGCTCCCTGGTCATCAGCAGACAGGGACCCTACCCTGGCTGCAACAGCGTCTCCAATGCGCTTGTTCGAGCTCTGGCCGGACAGCACCAACGCATCAGCCTGGCCAGAAGCAACCGCAACGCGACTGAAAAACAAACGCACCAAAACACAAAAACACAAGGAAATACCCCCACTTGCCCAACACCATTTGCCTTGCCGCGAAATTCTTCATCGGTCATCTTGGCACTCAGCCGCTGCTGCCTCTCAACCTCGCGGCGGTTTGCCATGTCGCTGTAATCCACAATGTCTGTGCAGACGACCACGGCGCACTTGACTGCTTTGCCTTCTCCAACTTTCAAGGTCTTGGGGTCGCCCAGCATCTCTTGCCACTTCTGCTCAGCTTGGGACTTGGTAAGGTCGCCACCTTCTGTGGTCTGGGCGTGCTCTATGAAGACTTTTTCTGTCATGAGTCGGCGCCTTGCCTCGAAACGGACCCCATCTTGCTCCACGGTGGCTTCCTTGTACGCAGCTATGGAAAATTTGACACGGCTCCGCTCCTTTGTGGCTCGTTCATGTTCTTTGCTGTATGCCTTGACCAAGTCGGTGTGCTCTGTTTCTGACAGGGCCTTCAACCACACCTCCTGGCCCTGCGCCTTGGCAAAGCGCTTCAGTCCGCGAATGGCATTCCAGCAGGGCTTGCATGTCCCCTGCTGCTGGTGAAAATCTGAGACGGGCTTCTTCTTCTTGCAAGTTGTGCACTTCTTGTTTGGCCCATCTTCTGCGTCATCATTTTGGGGTTCCCCGCAGGGGCTTGCATCGGTGGGTGCGCCTGCACCACCAGCGCTGCTGCCTCGAGATTGCCTTCTCTTTGGCTGGGCCTTTGCCTTCTTTGCTGGCGCTGGGCCACAATGCTCCAAGTCCTGCATGCCATCGCCTTCGAGAGCCAAAGCCATTGTCGTGGGAAAGCCTAGCAACACCGCCACCCTGTGTGTCTGGGATGTGCTTGTCGCATATGTGAATTCTGTGTGTGTGTGTGTGGTGTGTGTGTGTGTGCGTGTGTTTCACTGGTTTGTTTGGACACACCCTCATTGAGCGACGCGTTGCCACTTAGATGGCTGCGAGTTGCCACAGTCACAGTGACACCACCACACTCTTCCAACAGAACCTGCAAACAGGTCACGCCAGGCCTCTGAAGAAGGATGCAGCAGTAGCTCTCCGTCAAGCAGGCCTGGCCGCCAACAGCACCACGTTTGCAATCTGTCTGACAATGCACAAGCTGATCTGCAACAATGGCACCTGCAACAGTCCGCAATGCTTTTTCCCTCATGTCGCGCCAGTCTGGCAACCTCAACACATGGACTCGCATTGCGTCTCTTCAAAGTCCAGCTGCGTTTCGTTCTCGCGCACCACGGCTGGTGCCACTGATGCGGCGGGCGGAGCCTCTGGCGTCGTCAACGTGGATGGCTGAGGCTGCAAGAAGGCCAGCTGGAAAAGTAGCAGCGCCCCAAGACATGGCAGGGACATGCTGTTCCCGGCCATCCGCCTCCAGGCTGCAGCAGCAACTGGCTCCTCACTGTCAAACACCATACCACGCAACGGGCAAAGAAAAGGGCACTGCGTGAGGATGGGCCAGCCCTGAACTTCCAGCATCTCATGGTGCAGCAGCATCCGCTGCTTCGACATGCAAAAGAGGGCAGAACCCGTTGTCAAGGCTGGCACCTTATTTGGGAAGGGGCTCCTCTCAGTTGCCTGCGTGGTGTTCATGATCACATGTGGGCTGACATTGGCTGTCCGCGCATTGTCTTCCCACTTCCTCAATCTCTCTCGGGAGGCGCTGGTCATCAGCTGCTTTGTCTTCCACGACCTGCCATCCAAGCGCCGACCCAAGCCTTTGCGATCAGCCCATTTTTGATGTTCAGCGTCCACAACTTCCGGGGGCGCACACCAAAACGTTTCCCCTTGGAGATGGCATGCGCCCTTGAACAGCTGGTGCAAGGCATCTGCAGGCGAGGTAGCTACATCCGGGCTCCACTGCCAAGCATCTCGCTGAACAAAGGTCATGAACTTGCGAGCACGGGTGGCCGGCACTCCCAAGTCATCAGGTGACAAAGGGAACACTGTCATGCCATAGCCCGGCATGAAGACCAACTCAGCCAGCTCATGCTGGAAGGGCTGAACATTCTCCAACACGAAGCAACCCGGCTGGCAAAGAATGATTTCTCGGGCCCAGCAGAACCACGGAAGGGAGGAGCTACCCAAGAACTGCATCCCGTTGCCCAGAACGCTGAAATCAATACAAGTCGAACCAGAGATGTCCAAGGCAAAGGAGCCTGGCGTTGCGGCGTTCAGCACCACACAATTGTCACGATGCCTGAAGCAGTAGTGAGTCCTTGCCAGCTGCCTCTGCCGCTCCGCCTCATCCAATGTCCACAGGGGCGCCAGCACCTCCGAGTTCACCTCTTCCACCAACTGCTTGCTCAAGGCTGCCATGGCCTGGCGATCTTTCTTGGTGTTGGGGTTGTCATCCAGCTGCTTGCTGAACTTGCTGATCTTGGCTGCCACCAGCCTCCGCAAGGGAAATTGAAAAGCAACTGTCACACACACAGACAAACAAACAACTAAACAAACATCAGCAAACAAAACTAAACAAACAAACTAACAAACAAACAAGCTATACACAAACACAAGTTGCAAACAAAATAAACAAACAAACAAACAAACAAACAAAAACCAAACCAAACCAAACCAAACCAAACCAAACCAAACCAACCAACCAAACAAGCAACCAACCAACCAAACAATTGCCAAACAAACAAAAGAAACAAACAAACAAACAAAAACAAAACGAAACAAACAAACAGACAGACAGACAAACAAACAAAAAAACAAAAAACTAACATGTCACAAGCAAACAAAACACACACACACACACACACACGGGCACACACACACATGCACGCACGCATGAAGGCGGGCACACTGACACGCACACACAGAGAGAGAGAGAGAGAGAGAGACACACACACACACACACAGGCAGGCAGGCACGCACGCATGAAGGCGGGCACACTGACACACACACACACAGAGAGAGAGACACACACAAACAAAAACACACACACACACACACACGCATTTTTCACACTAACCAGCACTCAAGACCCACAAACAAATCAACACACTTCCAAAACCATCAGCAAACCAAAGCCGGTTTGGGAAGGCTCCCTGCCTCACAAAGTCACGCGGGGCTCTTTCTTGCAAGCTTCCAAAGATACATGCGGGGCCACAGTCAGAATTGCTCATGTGTTCCAGAACAGCCCTGCAGCTCTCATCGACATCTGAGGCCCGCAAGCACTGCAAGGAATTTGGCCCAAACAAAAAACCACGGAGGCGAAAGCCTTGCTTCAGCCAGTGCATGGCAAGTTCTGCTGTACCAAGCCCGCTGTAGCTGGATGACATCTGCACGCCTCTCTCAAATTTGTTGATGGCACGGTCAAACGGGAGGTCTGCGGAACCTGGCCATGACCGAAGTTGCGTCAAAAATGTGGAAGGCCGCGTGAACATCTCCTCATGCGTTTGAGGCCCCAGATCTTCAAGCAGCATCCCGCTGCCCAGACACACCTCGCCAAGATCTGAGGTGAGTTTCCTCTTGACCGGCAAAATCGGCTCCTCGGGAAGCTGATCCACTGGGCACCGACCAATGCGCACCAACACACAAGGACCAGCCCGCTTGCACAGGGGCCTCCCACAACTGACATCCACCCAACATTGCCAAATGAAGCAAAAATTATCCACATCTTCAACATTTCAATGAGTTTCTGCTCAATTTCAGCGATTGCGGCCCAAACTGATGCAGAAAACACCGCGCCTGCTCAGTTTCCATGAATTTCTGCAGCCAGAAGGTGTCCTCTGCCTCCGCCACAGCACACCTCAGAAAAAATCACAGAACAAGCCGCAACGCAACAAGCAAATATTGGCAAGAACCGAACAACTGCCGAACAACTGCCGAACAACCGCGAACAACTGCCGAACAACCGCCGAACAACTGCCGAACAACTGCCTTGCCTAAACCTCTTATGGCCGAACAATTGTCGAACAACTGCCACAGGAGCGACGATCTCTGGCAAGTCTGCCAAGGTTTTGCCTAATTTTGGCAGCAATGTGACCAGCTTTGGCGCTAAAACACTGAAGACTGGCCTAGTCTGCAGCTTGAGGCAGCAAAACTGTTGTAAAAAAACAGAAATCGCCAAACTTCAATCAGATCCCATGAATTTCATCTGGTTTACCCAAAAACATGCAAAAAACGCCTAGGCAATAGAAACTAGGAGGCCTCTGCACCCTTCAAGCACTCTGCAAGCAATGTGAGGCCCGAGCAGCGCAAAGGAGACAAAGTCGTGGGCCACAGCGCGCCCAAGACCTGGCCAACCACACAACTTCACACAACCCCAAACCCTAACTAAGATCAGTGTGGGCGCTTCTGCAAGATAAGCAAAAAACAATACTGATGCAGAGGAGTTTTTGATGAGAATAGGGGGCTAGGATGCACCCGGAACAGCCCTGATTAATAGCCGCCCAATCGATCCAGGAAAAATCTCAAGAACCCATAATAGTGCAGAAAAAAACGGCACAAAACATATAGTTTGCGCTGCAAAAAAACTAGCTAGGGCGCACCAGGAACAGCCCCATGGCAATATTGCGTGGCTGGGGATTGTGCGCAACAAAGTCCTGTGTGGGGTTAAGTTAAGAAATCCCAAAACCACGACCTGTTGTAGCGCAGTTCTGACAGTCGATTATAACAAACATATCTAGGATGTTCGGTCTTTTTGCCAAGGGCTAATGACTCAGTCAAGCGCAATCATCAATGCCTCCAGGATCGACTGACCTTCACAGCACGCACATCTGAAGCGAGTCAAACCCTACGCCAACTGCAACTGCAATCATCAATGATCCACCTCCGCCAGCACCTGAGCCCTGCACCGCCGCACCGCAATTGCCCGTTGGCAGGAAGGTGCCAAACCTTGGCCGGCAAGAGGAGCAAAGTCTGAACAGGAAGAAACGGAATGGCCACAAACTCCAATGCAATCAACAGCGTGTCTTTTCTCCTTGTCTGCCGGGCCGGTCTTGCTGGCTGAAAAGAGGCAAAGGCTCGCATGGACACACACTTGGCACACAGAAGCACCTTGAAGAGATTTGGCTGTTCAAATCAGCTGCCACCGGCATGTCCAGCTTTGCCATGCTCTGCCACTCTGAAAAAATGGAAGGTCCTTGCAACGTGATTTGGCCACCTCACAGCCCATTGGCTGTTCAGCCTATCAGGCGTGCACCTGACTGCAAGCAAAAATTGGACCTGCGGCTGGCAGGATTGCACGCTCCTTGCCATGTCCTGCTACCTGTTGGGCCGGCCAGCCGCTGGCCCCTAACACATTCCTAAAGGCCTACAGCTTTGCAATCGGTGACCAGGGTTTGAAACGCATTTGCGTGCTACTCTGCAACCTTCAATTTGACCCTGGCCCTCAAGATGCAGATGCTAGCCATTCCTAATCGTCCTAATGCGCCTACCGGCCGGCAGTTGGCTGCGAAGCCGCTGACCAATCCCTTAGCATCTACAGGCCGGCAGCTGATAACCACAATCAAAACTTACAAGCATATTTGCATCTCTGCGCAATTGGCTGCAAGCTGATGCCAGCTATACGAAAGCCTGTGAAACTGCCGACCCATTCCCTAAGCACGTATTGGCTTGCGGCTGCCAGCAAAATGGCTTCTGTTGAATGCTGACTTTCAAAACGCTGACCTCTGCTGGCAGCCTACAGCCTACAGGCAAACTTCCAAAGGCCTGCAGCCCAGGACCAAGGTAACACCTTGCACCTTGCCTCCTGCTCCTGAAATTGATTCACCTTGGCCCTTCAAGCTGCGCACAGCCTGGCTCACTCACTCTCACTGACCAGCTCGGTTG